TCCTTAGGGCTTCACTGAGATGCGTGGTTGGCATAATGTTTCTTGTGACAATATGCAACCAGATTCTGGCCTCAGGTATTATGTCTTTTCGCATAATATACGCTTGGCCCCACTTAGGCCGCACCCACATCTCATCAGAACCGGTGAGTGTTACTGAGATGGCATCGAGAGGAATCTCCTTTTGATTGTTGAGATACCACTATATTGGCAATTTTCAACCTTGGAAGCTCATAGTGATCTTTGATGTGCACTAGAGTGATGAGGACACGCTGGTACCGTATACATCTCATTACTCAAGTTTGATGCCACCCTAATATAGAATTTCCTGACTAGCTTCTCATTCCCTTCGCCTTTGGGACCAATCAGATTTAGGAAGTTGAGCTTCCTTGCCTTTTTATAAAACCCGAATTTGTTTGTGCACGGAAATTCTCTTTCTTGATGCAAACCTCTTCTTTCAATAAGCTCTTTGATTGGAGGATCAGGGGAGGTAGCACAGGCTTTCTTTCTGGGGGCCATTGGATTGTTACCTGCAAAGAGAAAGCAAAGCACACACAACAAAACTAAGCAAATAACACACCACAATCACGAAACAACCGACAAAGAAAAAGAAGAAAACTAACCTAAAAATAAAGAAAAACTTTCCCCCAAACTTAAATCAAGGATCCAGAACACCATCTTACCATTACTTAATCCCTTTCTAAACCTAAGTTATAAAATACCCCCAATTCAAACCAAGTTCATAAAGGTTCTCTTTTATCTTTTAATTTCAAAATCAGACAACCATCAGTTGCTGCCAATTTAAACTAATTTCACTACATCAGAATAACATTTCCAAATCAGTTACAAGTGAAAAAGAACAACATAACTTGGGTAATGAATCGGTGTTATTTGAAAATTTAGACAAGTACCTCATTTTCTCAAATTAGGTCCAATCTATGATCACTCAATTTCACAAGTATCACATTTTCAGCAGTACATGTTCACACAGATAGTTGGGCAATAAGGAATTATCACCTAACCACAATGTAACCTCAGAGAATCAAAATGCCCCCATCTAGAGTTCAAAAATAATCTAACTACAATGCATAACCCTAATAATACCCATCTCCAGCAAAACTAAACTAAATTAAAAGAAATAAAAGAGTAAGAAAGAATATACCTACAATGGACGACTAAGGGAGAGGAGGCACCGAAACAAACACACAGAAGGGTGGTGCCGACGATGAGGTGAAATAGGAAGGTGGCGGGGGAAGAGAAAATGACTGGTAGTGGGAGACCGAGAAGATGACCGGCGGTGAGAGAAGAGAAGCGACTGGCAGCTGGAGACGAAGAAATGATCGGCTAGCGATGGGAGAAGTTGGTATTTCGATGGGAGAGACTGAAGATACATAATGGGAGAAGTAGCATGTCGACGGGAATGTGGGGGAGTTTTTTGAAATTGTATGGAGAGTGAAAAGACCAAAGGGTTAGGGTTTTAAAATTAAAACAATGAATCTACCCTCAAAACCGGTCAGATACACAAGGGCAAAGTGGGTATTGCGAAAAATGGGTAAGGTTAAATGGGGAACATAAAGAAGAAGATCAGAAATTGCGAGAAGGCGCCGCGCGATGCCTTTTACAGAACTGCAGACGCCTGGCCTAAGTAATCACGCTGCGGCGTCTATGTTCAAACGCCGCGGCGGTTTGTACCGAGAGGGATCTAAACCACGGACTAAGGCGCCGCGGCGGATTAACTCAGGGGCCGCGGCACCTATTACAGAAAGATGATTTTGAAATAGACGAGGCGCCGTGGCTCCTCATCAAATGTGCCGCGGCGCCTCACATAGAGAAGGCCTAAATGAAAAATTAATGAACATAGACTGGACCTACCAAAATCAAACACCCTACACACAATAAAACAAGGCTAAACACAAGCACAAGCATAAAAACAAACACAACACAAACAACCACATAAAAGCAAAATCCACAAGCCTCAATTTAACACAAATTCAAACCAATCAAGGTCAAGGCCACTACTGGAGATTAAGGTTAGGTGCACTTCCCTGGTTGTGCTAATTAGAAATCAACCACTCCTGCTAAGCTCTAAAGTTTGAGGAATAAACCAAAAGGCCTACAAAAACAAAGATCAACCGTAAATCTACTAAAACAAAACTGAAATAAAAGAAACACATCAAAGGCAAGCTTAGAACTTGGGTTACCTCCCAAGTAGCGCTTAGTTTATAGTCTTCAGCCTGACTCTTCAGCTCTGTTATGATTGTTTAGCAAAGTAGATCGTAGAGACTTGACGATCCACCTTTCCACCCTAATAATGCTTCAAACGATGGCCATTTGCATGAAATCTTTCACCCTTTTCATTTTCCAGCTCCACCGCACCATGGTTAGCAGCTTGTACCACAGTGAATGGCGCTGACCAGCGTGATTTGAGTTTGCCCAGAAATAATCTCAACTTTGAATTATGAAGTAACACCTTTTGCCCCGCTTCAAAGACCTTGGGGATAATTTTCTGATCATGATACTTCTTGGTCCGTTCCTTATAGAGCCTTGCACTTTCATAGGTATTAAGGCGAAATTCCTCCAATTCATTCAGTTGAAGGAGCCTTTTTGCACCAATAGCTTGAAAGTCAAAGTTGAGCTTTTTTATGGCCCAGTAAGCTCCATGTTCTAATTCTACAGGCAAATGACATGCTTTTCCAAACACCAACTGATAGGGAGACATCCCAATCGGAGTTTTATATGCTGTCTTGTAGGCCTAAAGAGCATCATCCAGTTTTAATGAACAATCTTTTCTTGTTGCACCTACTACCTTCTCAAGAATGCTTTTGATCTCTCGGTTGGATATTTCTGCTTGGCCATTTGACTAAGGATGATAAGCCAAATTTATCCTGTGCTTTACACCATATTTCTTTATCAGAGCTTGAAATTGGTGATTGCAAAAGTGAGAATTGCCATCACTAATAATAGCCCGATGTGCTCCAAATCTCGTGAAGATGTTTTTCTTTAAGAATTTGATCACCATTTTAGCATCACTGGATACACATGCAATAGCTTCAACCCATTTCGAGACATAGTCCACAGCAACCAGAATGTACTCTTGATTGAGAGACTTTGGAAACGGGCCCATGAAGCCAATTCCCTATACATCAAAGAGTTCAACTTCCAGAATATTATTTAGAGGCATTTCATTCCTTCTTGATATGTTTCCTACTCGTTGACACCGATCACATCGGATCACAAAGGCATATGCATATTCAAATAGTGAAGGCCAATAAAAACCACTTTGAAGGACTTTGGCAGCCGTTTTCTCTCTCCTCTAAAGTGCCCACCATAAGCTGAAGAGTGGCAACACTCTAGAATATCTTGTTGCTCAACTTCTGGAACACATCTTCTTATTATCTGATCTGCACATCTTTTGAACAAGTAAGGTTCTTCTCAGAAGTACATCTTTGCATCGTGAAGAAATTTCCTCTTTTGATGGGAGTTAAGGTCTAGTGGCAGAGTTCCACAAACCAGATAATTAACCAGATCTACATACCATGGAGTAGTTGAGTTATCCACAAAGAACAAACATTCATCGGGAAAAGCTGCATTGATCTCTTGACAATGATCATGTTGAGCTTCACTATTTAATCGAGATAGATGATCAACCACTTGGTTCTCAGTCCCTTTCCTATCAACAATTTCCAAGTCAAATTCTTGAAGCAAAAGGACCCATCAAATCAGGTGTGTTTTGGAATCTTTCTTGGTAAACAGGTACTTTAGGGCAGAGTGGTCTGTATAGATAGTCACTTTGGTGCCCACAATATAAGACTGGAATTTCTCACAAGCAAACACCACTGCAAGCAATTCTTTCTCTGTAGTAGTGTAGTTAAGTTGGGCATCATCCAAGTTTTACTAGCATAGTAGATGGGATGGAAGACCTTTTCTACTTTTTGTCTTAGAACTGCTCCAACGGCAAAATCACTAGCATCTGCCATAATGATGAAGGATAGCTCCCAATTAGGTGCCACTAAAATTGGTGCTGAGGTGAGCTTCTTCTTTAATTCTTCAAAAGAGTTCATACAAGCGTCATCAAACTTGAACTCCCTATCTTTCTCCAACAAATTGCACAAAGGCTTAGTGAGTTTAGAGAAATCTTTAATGAAACGACGGTAGAATCCCGCGTGACCCAAGAAACTTCTAATACCCTTAACACTTATTGGTGGAGGTAATTGCTCAATAACAGATACCTTTGCCTTGTCAACTTCTAGGCCTTGTTTGGATACTCGATGACCAAGGACAATGCCCTCTTACACCATGAAGTGACATTTTTCCCAATTCAGAACCAAATTAGTTTCTTCACATCGTTGCAGAATAGCCGCCAAATTGTCTAAGCAACAATCAAAAGAATCTCCAAAAACAAAGAAATCATCCATGAACACTTCAATTGTTTTCTCAATCATGTTAGCAAAGATGGCCATCATGCATCTTTAGAATGTTGCTGGAGCATTGCAAAGACCAAATGGCATTCTTTTGAAAGCAAACATGCCATATGGACAAGTAAAGGTTGTTTTCTCTTGATCTTCTGGGGCTATTACAATTTGGTTGTATCCTGAATACCCATCCAAGAAACAAAAGAATTCTTGCCCAGCAAGTTTATCTAACATCTGATCAGCAAATGGCAGCGGGAAATGGTCTTTTCTGGTTGCTATATTTAACTTTCGATAATCCATGCAAATTCTCCACCCAGTCATAGTACGAGTTGGAACTAACTCATTTCGGGTGTTAGCCACTACAGTTATACCGCCTTTTTTAGGGATGCATTGAACTGGGCTCACCCATGAACTATCAGAAATAGGGTAGACTATGCCAGCAGAAAGCCATTTCAGGATCTGTTTCTTGACTACTTCTTTCATAACCGGGTTTAATCTCCTTTGATGCTTAATGGAAGGTTTGTGACCATCCTCTAATAAAATCTTGTGCATACAAATAGAAAGGCTGATCCCTTTGATGTCAGCTATGGACTACCCAATAGCTTTCTTGTGGTGTCTCAAGACCCTTAACAGTTTCTCTTCTTGCAACGTGGACAACTTAGAAGAAACAATCACAGGTAAAGTAGTAGAATTACCTAAGTAGGCGTACTTGAGATGTGATGGTAAAGTCTTCAACTCCAACACTGGCGGTTCATCCACAGAAGGCTTTAGAGGAGAGCTTAAAGCACTAGTCACATCTAGAGGCTCAAAAGTCTTAGCTTTTCGATATGGAAACGCTTCAATACTTATCATTTCTGTATAAGCTTTAACCTTGCCATCAATACTACTTGTTTCTCCAATCAACAATGCTTCTAATGGGTCTTTGGTCAAAGAGTTAATCAACTCCTCTTGCATTGTAGTGTCAATCACATCAATACAATTACAGTGAGCAGAATCATCTGGAAACTTCAAGGCTTGATTCATGTTGAATATCACCTTCTCATCATTTACTCGCATGGTGATGTCACCCTCTTCTACGTCAATAAGGGTTCTTGCGGTAGCTAAGAATGGCTGTCCCAAAATAATAGGGATATTCCAATCTACCTCACAGTCTAACACAATGAAATCAGCTGGAAATATGAATTTATCTACCTTCACCAAGACATCTTCTACAATCCCTTTTGGATATGAGATACTTCTATTAGCAAAGAGCAATGTAATAGTGGTTGGCCTTGCTTCACCCAAATTTAATCGATTAAATACAGCTAGAGGCATCAAGTTAACACTTGCTCCCAAATCGCATAGGGCTTTTCCATTGAAGTGTTTGCCTATGTTGCATGGAATATAAAAACTGTCTAGATCTCTCAATTTGGGTGGGAGTTTTCGCTACAAGATGGCACTACAATCTTCAGTAAGGGCTACTGTTTCAAATTCACCGAATCTCTTCTTCTTGGAGAGAACATCCTTAAGAAACTTAGCATACTTAGGCATCTGCCAGGTTGTCCCTTTCCTTTACTTCTACTGTTCACATGAACTTACTTGTGCTTAAATTACCTTGCTGTGACTTTTAGAAACAGTGAAAGGGATGCCCTCAGTAGAAGTAGTTTTAAATTCTGTTGTTTTGTTTGTTTTCAATAATCTCCCTAGCCTTGAGTTTGATATGATTATATTTGTGCTTCTATTCTGTCACCACCACGCACTTCTTTGCACTCTTGAGTTTACCCACCTTTGCGCTTAGCTCTTTCCCTCTCTCTAGAAGGGTAACGTGTTGTGCTTCAGTCTTGAATTGAACTTCACAACTTCCACCTTTTTGTTTTATAAGCATTTGATCAATAAAGGGTAAGGGAAAATGGTCTTTCCTAGTGGCATCATTTAGCTTCCTATAGTCAATACAAACTCTGCATGAGTTTTGCACCCTAATTGGGATGAGTTAATTGTTCTCATTTTTAACTACTGTGATCCCACTCTTTTTCGGCACGACTTGTACTGGTGACACCCACTCGCTATCAGAAATAGTGTATACGATTCCAGCTCTTAGAAGTTTGTCTACTTCTTTCCTAACTACATCAAAAATTAGAGGATATAACCTCCTTTGGCTTTGTTTAATTGGCTTGGAATTTTCAGTCAGTAAAATCCTATGGGTACAAATAGTAGAGTCAATTCCCTTAATGTCAGCTAATTGCCAACCCAATGCCTCCCTATTTCTTCAAAGAATTCCCATTAAACTAGTCTCTTCATGCTTAGTTAAAGAACTAGAAATAATGACAGGCAATTTATTCTCAGGCTCAAGATAAGCATACTTGAGGTTGGGAGGTAAATCTTTTAGTTCCAAAGTCGGGGGTTGAACAATAGAGGGAATTACAGTAGGAAAGTCAACAGAGTTAGAGAAACTCCCCTTTGTAGACCCTTTTGAAATGCACTCACCAGCTTCACTTGGATCGACTATGCCTACTTCAGTCCTATTAGATGTTGCTCCAAGCTCGAGTTGGTCTACAGAGGCAACAAACTTAGGCTTGTCCTCCTTATACCTACATCATTATTAGAGATTAGATCATTCAAAAATCTTAAGGTATGGGGTGTAATTTTAGAATGTGTATGAGTAGTCATTGAATCAGAAAGTGTTGGCCCTTTAACCAAAGTCTTCAAGACATGAGGTGGTGGAGCAATTGAAGTTTGAAGTTTAGTAGGTAAAACAGGTGAATCAGGTCGCAAACTCACATCACAGAAGCTACCCTCTTGGAATGCTTGGGTTGAAGTTGTGACTTGAGAACCCTTAGGTCGCGACTTAACTTCTTTACAGGCTTGGTAGAAAGTCGCGACTTCGAAAAACTCAAGTCACGACCTCACGTCACAGAGGCTTATTTCCTTAGATTTTGCTCTACTCTCAGCACCTGTCACATCTAGCATTATGGTAATTAGAAATAATAAATATTCTCAAATTATTGAGGATTAAAAATAAGGAGAAGTAGAAGAATTTTGGTGGAAAATAATTACCATAATTTTCCAAGCCAATTATAGGAATTAGACTAATTAAGGAAAATTGGTCAAATGTAAGTAAGAAAAAATATTTTCAAGCCTTAGAAAATTAAGAAAAAATGAGTATAACATCCTTTGAGAGTTATATGAAATTATAAAGTTGGTTTTATGACCAAATTTTCCTTAGAGAAATTACAAGAGAATTTAAGGGTGATTTAGGCTAATTAAGGGATTTTATTTGGAAAATTCCAAATAAATATTTTTAAGGAGAATAAAATTCCAAGAAAATTCCTATGAGACCCCAAGGAATTATAAGAGATTATGGAATTAAATGAAGACCCTTAAGTATCCAAGATTTTTCCAAACATTTGTGAAAAGTGGAAAATCCCTAAAGAGGAGGAAATTAATTTTCCTTTTTATTTAATTATTAGGAAATTAATTTTGAAGTAAAGAGGGCAATTTGGGAAGATAAAAATAAGGAGAATAAATTAAGGATCTGATAGAAAATAATTACAGAGGCCAAACTACTGTAATTCTAGAAAGGAAGTTAAACTTAGAGCCAAAGTATATTGATAAAGCAAGACTAGTGTCTTGCAAATCAAATGGATCACATTGAGCCATGTGTCAAGCCCTCAAGGGAGAGGATTTGAACTTGCCAAGTGTCACTCCTCAAATGGAGAGGATCTTGACTTTTGGTAATTAAATTCATTTGGATTTTGTTAATTAAGAAAGAAAAGCAAGATTAAAGAGGGTAATGACACTTGGATTCTCATTAAAGAGGGTAGTTGGGATATTTTGGTTCATTAAACAAGCTCATCTCCCCCTCATTTTCAGATGTTAGTTTGGCCAAGGGAGGAAAAGGAGAGAAAAGAGAGGGTTTGAAGAAGGAACAAGGAAAAGCTAGCATCTTTGACCATACAACCAAGGATTCAAGGTTAGTTCTTGGTTCTACATAGGTTCTTGCTTTGTTTTCTTTCTTTCTATGGTTGAAAAATCTGTTTTCTCCTCTCCTTTGGGTATTGGCCAAACTGGTTATCTTGAGGGGAGGATTTTTATTGATCACACTTGCTAAGACACATCAAAACATTTAGTTCCTAGTGTTTGCAAGTGGCTATATAGGTTGTTTTTGAAGCATTTTTCTTGGTTGTTTCTTTAGATGTTTATTTCGGCCAAGATGATGAATGAACCCTAGGATGAGTTTTTCAATGTTTTAAGGCTTCCATGATGCTTAAAATGAGAAATGGTGTAGGGTAAACCAAAAGGAACAAGTGTTAGGAGCATTAAAACAAAGTTGTAATTTTCGGTTCAAGTACTCCTAGTGGTTCGGTGAAGGGTAGCTGAAAAGGAGGAGTTTTATTTTCATAGATCTAGGCCATATATGGAATCTACATGAAAGCCATGTAGGTA